AAACATAATACATTGAGAGGGAAATTGTTTAAAATCTAGAAGGTGCTCCACTCAGAATTTTTTGACATTCTCTTAGTTCTCACTCCATTTGAAAGAAACAAATAGAAAATCATAAATTGTGGTTGTGGTTTAAGCTAGAGCAGCAACTTGGAACTCAAAGAAAAGTCCAGAAACTGGTGATTAAATACAAATGTATGTGTTTATAAATAAAATGTTTATTAAAAAACCATTTGTAAGATCCTCCCAATTTATTTGACTTTTCCCATTACTGGGTCTCAGTCACAGTGGCTGAGAGAGAGAGACATTTCCAATTTAAACACATCCTAGAGCACTTCAAGATCCAACGCACAGACTAATTAGGCTTGAATGCCTATATTTTATATCATCAAAATTATTACCTAAGCTTACTATAGTTCTTTAATCTGTGAAAACGTCCTTCCTCCAAACCTTCGTAAAGTCCTAGGCTGCTACCAATCCAGTGCCCACGGGAACCTCCTGAGAGCATGGAGCAGAATGGCTGCCAACCCCCAATGTCAGCTGTGTAAAAAGAATCTACACCCTTCCAGTTCATCTAGAATAGTGCCTGGCGCAGGGGAGGTACATAGTAAATTCTGTGTATGCCCAAATATAAGGCAAGGAATTTTCAACATCAACAAAAAATCACTCAGAAAAAAAATTGGAATTTTCTATTAGACTCCTTATTAAAGCATATTAAGAAGTACTCTGAATTACTCAATTTGGAACTGCAAAACCCTTTTAGAAAGATGCCTTGCCCTGCAACACCTTAATCAATGCTAGTTAAGGGTGTTAAAAAGGTCACTTTGCAAAACTAAAAACAAAAAACAAGCAAGTTAGGCTGAGAAACAGCACACAGTTAGCAATTGCAATGGTTGGACAGTGCTGTTAAAACGGGACTTTTTAAAGATCATTTTAAAAAGCAACACATAATAACAACTATTTGCCAATCAGCAAGTGAAGAGACCAAACAGTCCTAACCTCAGGCAGTGGGTACTTGTAGCTCGGTATAAAATTTCCAAGAGCAGCATAATCAACTGACTCAACATACACCTCATCTCAAATGGCTCAGGTGAAAGCAGAGCTGACAGGCTCTGCTAACCAGGTTAGAGGATTCCAAGTGACTCAATGATAACCCAAACCCTAATGAAAAAGATGCCAGTGAAGAGTGTAGAAAAAAATTGTTTCATGAACCAAACAGGAATTAATACATTTCATATAGGATACAGTCCCAATATCTAACTGTAACTAAATTGGTAGACAACCTAAGCAAATATTTGTTTATCTACATACCTAAAAAGTTTACATATCCTAATTGACCCAAAAGATTTAAGGAGATTCTCATTGGGAAAAAAGGGGACTGTCTTATATTTACAGTCACCTGCTACTAAGGCATATATGGTATTTGCTGAATAATAACATAAATGCTCATCTATTAAACAACATGCAGCAACACCCAGCATTCAGCTTTGCTATGAGAGATCAAAGTAATTCCAAAAGCCTATTTGGAAGTAATTTTCAGCTTAAGTCGGCCTGCCAAATTTATAGGCTTGCTTAATGGTGCTACAGTTTCTGCCGGGCTTCTGGTTGCCCAAGAAGACTTCCACTGACTATTAAAAATCAGTGGATAAAAAGCTGGATGGTATTAAAACCTCTACTACTTTTTCCCCTCTGAAGATAGTCAAATATAAGATCAGGTTTAATTCAGACTCTTCCTAGAACCCAAACTTAGTCCTTATAAGGTGGGCCTTTGAAGAAGGAAGAATTGAAGATCACTTAGTTACAACAAACAGAAAGAATATCTCAGAAAGCCATAACCATAATCTGATAGCTACACGTGCCTAATAGGGAAAGTCATTCAACTATCCTTAAAGTTATAAAATTTCAATCCCTTTGCACATTTTTTTAAAATGCTACAAATACTACCAGAGTTTCAAAAGCTGAGGTTACTTCCTAATCTCCTGATCAAACACAATTCCCATAAAATGTACTGGGAAGACATCTGTAAATACATGGTTATCAAAATGTTCTAACATGATTTAGTGGGGTGACCACTTCGAGAGTTATATAGATATCTAATCACTACTCTGTACAACTGAAATTAATAATATTATTGTATGCTGACGATAATTGAAAAAAAAACTCTTTGAATTGTACAGTGTAAATATGAACAACTAATTATTTTATATGGACAACTAATTTTTTTTTATTGTACTTCAATTAAGCTGGGGGAAAAAAATGTCCTACCGTTTTACTAGAAACATCATTCTAAAATCATTTACTTTTCTAACTTTTAATTATACCTTAGATAAAAACAGTAAGGACAGGAAGGAAACGTTTGAATATCTGTAACAATACTTGTAACTGGAATTAATCACAATCAAAACCAAAGAAAAACTTAATTCCCTTTGAGCAGTGATTCCAAATATGAATATGCCTTGACTATTCTTGACTTCCCATTCTTCCTGATCCACAGAAAAAAAACCCAGTTGGGCAAAATATGACATTTAACTCTAAAGCTCAACATCCAAGGGTCTAAGTTCCTAACCTCAGAGATGCTGCAGTACTGAGTAATTCAAATGGTAGAATTTTCCCAGCATCTCAGTATTTTATACATATTGGAAGGATTATTTAAGTGGTGTATGCACTCAGTTCCCTAAACGGTCAAAAATAAAGGAATATGGTTGTGTTCTCTAAAATGAATAACTGCAATAGATCGACAATGTATTTTTTCTTCTCTTAAGTGGGCTTTTCTATATATAAAGGAAATATAAAACTTGAGTACCTCCTGACTTAAACCAGTATCCCGTGGGCTATCCTTCCCCCCCGCCCCACATCAGTTCACAAGGTGGCAGAGGGTGTGAAATTACATGTTCTAAGTAGCTTCTGAAACCAAATAACTAAAACCCTCAAGATAAGGTCTTTGACCAAAACAGAAGCAGTGGGGGCTGTAAAATAAAGTTGTGCACCACATATAGGGGAGAAAAAAAAAAAAAACAGAACACCCTCAAAGACACAAGTGGGAATGCAACCTTGTAAGACCCCAGGAGAAGACCAGGACTTCCTGACAGACCCAGTCCAAGAAGGGCTAGGCCAAACATTCCTATTGCCTCCAGGCTAACTTCTTCCCTCTTGTTAAAGTTTGTAATTTTTGTTCTTCCAAACTCATCACACACTTCCCTCTGCCCAATCCTCCATCACCAGACACACAGGGAGGAAGCCCAGTCTCCCTAGGGACCAGAACCCGGAAACATTAAGCACTAACTTTATCCAGGTGGGCTGAGGTATGCAGAGGAATAGTCCAGAGAAAGACTGTTTCTGGGGAGATGGGAAGGCTTAGCATAAAAAGGTGCGGGGACAGCCCCAGCCAGCAGAAGATACTGGAGGTGAGCCGTGGATAGGAAGACGTGCCTGCCCAGTGGGAGGATGGGGTGATGCCACACTTATGAACAGGTGGCAAGGTTCCCTGGGACTACATGCCGCCAGAGCAAGCGCAGGTGGTGGAGAAAGGGATTCCAGGGGACAGAATGACTGGAAAGCAGGTGCAGACAAGAAGTTCAGAGGCAAGGAAGTGGGAAGGGGGGACATGGTATCCAAAAGTTGGCAAGTGGGACTTGAAGGATTACACTTACGGAGTCCTTGGAGGGATGCAAGTTGGAGAAAGAGTAAGGCAAAGGCCATTGTGGACTCACCTCTGGTCTCTCCTGCCCCTCATCACTGCCCCCTACACCCATGCGTGCCCCTCCTCCCATTACACACACACACACACACACACGCACACGCACACGCACACCTTGATGCCGTTAAGTAAACCCACCTTTGACAGGGGCGCGCTCCTGCTGGTCGCCAGTTCCCGCAGACTGGCAGTGGCGCTGCCTGCCGCCAAGGGGAAGCCCGGGGAGCAGGGTACGCTGCCTGCTGCGCTGCTCACCACGCTACCCCCGCCACCCGCGAGCTCGGAGGCCGCCCCGGAGCCCGGGACAGGGCGCGCGGGTGGGCTGCCGCCAGGGCTGGCACCAACGCGGGGCCGCTGGCGGATGCCGTCCAGCAGGCGCACCAGCAGGATGTTGGCGGGCAGCTCGTCCACGCCGCAGCCCACCAGGATGCGGCACTCGGGACAGCGCAGCTCGTGGCGCGAGCACACGATGCTCTCCAGACAGCGGCGACAGAAGGTATGCTGACACGGCAGCACTTTCGCCGTGGTGTCCAGGCGCTCCAGGCACACGGAACACTCCAGAAGATCCAACAGCGACGACTCGTCCATGTCCTCGCCAGCCGCCGCGGCCGTGACCGCCTCCCGCCGCCGCCACCGCTCGCCTGGCTTGTCGTCGTCGCCCTCGCTCTGCGCAGCAGCGGCGGCCGCCTTGGACGCGCACAGCCAGGACGCTCCGAGCAGCATGGGGGAGGCGCCA